TTCGTGCTAGAGAAGTTAACAATACCATCAATGAAGACATGCACTTGCTGATGTGAATTGTTTTTTTATTGCTTAAATTGAAAGCACAATCCTACAATTGAAGTAAGTTTCATTTCCTTTCTGATGAAATAAATAAAACAGCAAATGTGGAGCAGCTTGAAATACACTCTCGTGAGTTGGTGAATTTTCTTGTAATTTTCTTGTAACATCAAATTTAGCCTTCTAATCCTGATCCCCTCCTTGTATGGATTACCATGCTTTATTGCGTCAGTGCCAAACAAAAATTGAAGCTCTATCATAACCTCTGTCTACGAAAAAGCAAAGCCTATTACCATTACCAAGCACGACACCATATACATCGATGTTCAAAACCGTTGTACCATATGGGAAAAATTAATTCATAAGAAAAATTTTTTTTTTCATTTGGTTGACGTTTCACTCTATACAGTGTGTTCAATTTTCCATACATTTGCGAGATATCTCAGTTATCTTTGGAAATAGATAAAAATCAAGTTACACAGTCCTTGTTTTTGAGATACAGGGTGACCATTCTCACTTTTAGAGCAAGTCCCATTTCTTAGACAACTTTCAACCCATAAAAAAGTCCTGCTATATTAATTGCTTAGAGATAAAATGTCTTCTTCTCTTTTTGTCTTCAGGGTTGAAAAGTAATGAAAATTTCAGTTTGATTACACAAAAAATGAGAAGAAACGCAGAAGACTGCTTTAACCTCAATATAAAGAGGTTGGAACGGGATTCTTATTCATCTCTCAACATATTTTGTGTAACCACATGACATTTTTATCATTTTACGTCGAAACCCCTAGAGATAATGAAGCCAAAATATATTTACCTCTCCAGTTTGACTCAACTTTTGTCGACTTTATCGAAAATACATGAATCAGAAGAATATTCATTCTATTTTAATGCTTCAGTTCAAATTTTGATCCTCAATACGTTCAAAGTTCCATAATTGTTTCAATATTATACTGTTCAAATTGATTAACGGTTTTTTCAACAGCGAGAGTATCGGAAATTGAACACACTGTATTTATAATTAGGATCTTGAAATAGCCAATAATACAAGCACTTGACTCTTGAGGTGAATTATTTTTTTTTCACTGCTCCGTATACCGATCACAATTTTGCAAAATTGATCTTTTTGTTTTGAAAATTTTCTGTAGAAAAACTTTTCCTCTAATGGTGCAACGTTTTTGTCCCCACTGTCAATTTTTTTCAAAGAGAATTTTCCGATTCTAGATGCTAGAAGTGTTTAACGCACGATTCTTAACTCATACGAAGAATAACTGAATGAAATGAATGTTCCATTTAAATATCAAGAGTTCAGGAAACTGAAAAATTCGAAATATCACGTTTTTCAAAGTCTAGTCACAAATTACTAGAAAATTACAGCTTGATCACCGAGTAGATTAACAATCCACCCCGTGTTCATTAATTTCAAATCTCTTTGGAAAAAATAAGACGGAAGCGTACTGGGCACTAACGTAGTGACGCTGGTCCGCCTCGCTGAAGACGGATAGGGGGTATCGTTCGAAACGTCTGAAGCGCCCGGGGCAGACTGCTCGTCGGGGCTGATTGCCAACGGGGCCAATTTGTTCAACGACGAACCGTCCAAAAGTTTTCTGTGGGACATATTCCTGCAAATTTACGGTCAAAAATGTCTCATTTAAAGTGCGGATACCCTCCTATTTTTGGATCCTTCTTGATTTCAATCGGACTGTACGAACTAGTCGAATTTACGCCACATAGGTACCTATTAAATATTAATTATCATCACGAATACTTTTTTTCGATAATTAATATCGGCATAATCGTGATAAACTGGGCGTCAATTGAAACGTTAATAGTGAAATTTGGCATCAAGTTTGACTTCTCGTAATTTCTAAAATATTGAACGAATTTTGAATTGCCGCCCAGATTCTGAATGCCTTTTTCATCGTCTTTCGAACCGTTCCTTATAGCTTCTTTTAAATTGATCAGGATCCATGATACAGGGTGAAACAAAGTTACGTGCATTTTGAATAAAATTTCTCCGCCCCCCCATTTTGTCGGAAGACCACGATGCTCATATTTTATTCAGGCATTTCATAAATAGCAACCATACCTCGGGACGTTTTCGAGTTTTTGCCAAAAACTACTATGGTTTCCGGAAAAAAAATTTTTTTAGCATTTTTTTTTTTAATGGACTAATTTCCTGTATCATCAAAACGATGAATCAGTCTCTTTATTGTCATGACTGACTTATTGAAAATGGTACTTAAATGAGTTTGGGTATATCCTAATCGTCGTAACCTGAAATAATAATTATCTGTACTGAATTATAGTTTATATCACTATAGTGATCTTACCTAATGATATTTTCCATTTCGACCCGATTTGAACGAGGCATCTTTAAATTATTTAGGACCCGAATTACACTGACGTTTTCATGAAAATTGGCAACTGATATAACCTCTATGCATACCTACATTGTTTCAACAATACGCTGTTATAAAAACAAGGTATCATTGTTTGTTTTTGTTGATGAGATGTGTTGATTTACTGCTCACTAAGGTAGAAAACTTTCATCATAGACTGCGAAGTAATAAATTATTGATTGTTTTTGAGTCAGCTGGTATACATATCTGCTCCAACGATTTCCTCAAATGCATAAAAGCATCCATTTATGGAACTTCTCTAAAATTAGTCCATTTTTTAAAAAATGCAAAAAAAAAATTTTTTTTCGGAAACCACAGTAGTTTTTGGCAGAAACTCGAAAACGTCCCGAGGTATGGTTGCTATTTATGAAATCCCCGAATAAAATATCAGCATTGTGGTCTTCTGACAAAATGGGGGGGCGGAGAAATTTTTTTCAAAATGCACGAAACTTTGTTTCACCTTGTATCACGGGTCCTGATCAATTTAGAAGAAGCTGTAAGGAACGGTTCGAAAGACGATGAAAAAGGCATTCAGAATCTGGGCGGCAATTCAAAATTCGTTCAATATTTCAGAAATTACGAGAAGTCAAACTTGATGCCAAATTTCACTATTAACGTTTCAATTGACGCCCAGTTTATTTGTTGATATAATCCTCTTTATTCCCCCAACAAACAATGCGAGCATAACCACATATTTCTACGCTGCCTTTATAACTAGTAATTACCACATGAAATTCAATATATTCATATTCACAGAATATGATGGTTCCACTTGGTCCCTAATAATCACTTATTGAATACTTATACAGGGTGTCCCTAGACCAGTGGGACAGGTAAATATCTTCTGAACCAATAGGAATTTTCGAAATTTTATAATTTCACATCATATCGCATTATGAGTGCTAACTTCAGGAATGACTATATTTTCTACGAGGGGCGCAAGAAAGGCTCACAAAATCGAACATCAATTTTTTCAAATGGAACACCCTGTATTTCATTGCATTTCCATATCCTCCTTGAAGAGCTGAATTCAACGACCTAGCTCACTTGGGTTCTAGCGGAAATGACTTCCGTGAATGTTTGTGTCAAAACTATTCATTATTGCTCAAAACGCTAACATGTCCATATCTTAACTTCTGATTTACTATTTACTCGTATTTAATTGAAACAAATACTGGGTGGTGTAGAATTCTCAGTTTCAGTCAGAATTCTACACCACCCTGTATTTGTTTCAATTAAATACGAGTAAATAGTAAATCAAAAGTTTTGATATGGACTTGTAAGCCGTTTTGACCAATAGTGAATAGTTTTGACAAAAAAAAATCACAAAAATGAAAAATCTCGATTTTCCACATCCTATATCTCGGAAATCAATCCCGCTAGACCCCAAGTGTGCTAGGTCGTTGGATTCAGCTCTTCAAGGAGAATATGAAAATGCAATGAAATACAGGGTGTTCCATTTGAAAAAAATCGATGTTCGATTTTCTGAGCCTTTCTTGCGCCCCTCGTAGAAAATATAGTAATTCCTGAAGTTGGCACTCATAATGCGATATGATGTGGAATTATAATATTTTGAAAATTCCTATTGGTTCAGGAGATGTTCAACTGTCCCACTGGTCTAGGGACACCCTGTATATTATCTCACAAGATGTTTCAGTGCCATTAGGAACCATTTTGTGACCCTGGCAACAGCGTGATTCTTACAGTTCACAGAAATATCAAGAACAAAAGTATAAAAAGTCCGTTTTACCCAATATTGGAGAAAATATTCGTGTACCATTTTCTGTGAAGTAACCTTGAAAGTGCTGTAGTGATTGTTATTTGCTAAATTCAACTATGTTAGTATCATCGAGTTGGTGTATAGGAAAGGAGATGCAGGCACGTGATCAAATTACCATATTGATAAGACATATTTTACAGGAGCAGAAAATGTGACCACTACCAAAATTTCTAAAAATCTTTCATCTCCTTTCCTATATAATGACTCAATGGCTATGAAGGTATTCAACTATCATCTCAAATATCCATTAGTTATTGCAAATAGGCATGTTAGACGTTTTTTTTTTTTCACCAATTTTGTCAGATGGACGATTGGACTTGAATTGAATTCAACACGATAAACATGTTTGTGACCATCAATACCGTATTTTCTGGATAAGTCATGATTTCCAAAAGGGTACGTGATTCAAATTTAACATGGTGATTGAATCTGAAAATTCGTTGTCTATATTTTATATTCCCCCAATATCATGGTTTCACTGGAAACAACCCCTTCGAATTTAGAATGGAACACCCAGTTTATTTTCATCTGTCATCACGATCACATACTTTTGTGAAAAAAAAGAGAATCACGTAATTCTTTAGAATATTATTTTTGCATCTAGCTCCAATCAATCTAAAGAACATATGGAAAAAATTAGACATTTTTTTAGCGTAGTATTGAAGATAAATTGTCATTCAACGGTTTCAAATCGACATTTGATGTAATCAGGAGCCTTTACTTGTTCATAAATAATAAGATCGCACATCTCACTCAGAATCTTGTCCACAATCGAAAATAATTTTCGCTAAAATCAGAAGTGATGGGAAAGCATAAGAGAGCTAATAACCCTGTCGAGTTCTCATATCCTGAAAAGCATGACTTGTCCAAAAAATACGTTCCTCACCCGAAAGAGATTCTCAATGGAGAAACAAAAAGAGAGAAAAGTCCATTCGCCCATCAAAAAACCAACACGACGAAGCAAAAAGAAAGCGGACAAAGACCGCCGAAACCCAAAACCCAGACGAAAAAACCAAGAACCCATCTCTATCCCTACCTTGGAGCCGATTGCCAGTCGCTTTCGGCACGTCCGGACCTTAGCGAACTCAAAGAAGTCGCCCTAGCTTCAGGCAACTTTTTGGGATCGGGCAACGAGGAAGCAGGCACCTTAAAGGGATGCGAAGCCACTTTGAGCGAGGAGATCGTCCTCCTCTTCAAACGCGGCGTCAAAAACGAGAACAAACTGTCCGAACTGAATAATTTGTCGGTAAAAGTTCGTTCGACGGGCAACGATGGCGTTAGCGGGATTTGGAAGTCGCTTTTAGACCGTAGCACACCCCCCTCCGACTCAAGTTTGTATTTCTCCACTTCCTCAGCGCTTAGTCGGTTAGCTAAGCGATTCTTCTCCACGTTTGAACTGAATAATTTGTCGACGGAAGTACGTTCGATGGGCAATAATGGCGTTCGAGGTATTTGAAAGTCGCTTTGAGACCGTAGCACACCCTCCACCGACTTAATCTTGTTTTTTTCCGCTTCCTCAGAGCGTATTCGGTTAGCTGAGCGATTTTTCTCCACGTTCGAACTGAATAATTTGTCGATGGAAGTACGTTCGACGGGCAATAATGGCGTTCGAGGTATTTGAAAGTCGCTTTGAGACCGTAGCACACCCTCCACCGACTTAATCTTGTTTTTTTCCGCTTCCTCAGAGCGTATTCGGTTAGCTGAGCGATTTTTCTCCACGTTCGAACCGAATAATTTGTCGATGGAAGTACGTTCGACGGGCAATAATGGCGTTCGCGGTATTTGGAAGTCGCTTTGAGACCGTAGCACACCCTCCACCGAGTTGATTTTGTTTTTCTCCGCTTCCTCAGAGCTTATTCGGTTAGCTAAGCGATTCTTCTCCACGTTTGAACTGAATACTTTGTCGATGGAAGTAGGTTCGACTGTAAATAACGGCGTTCGCGGTATTTGGAAGTCGCTTTGAGACCGGAGCACTCCCTCCACCGAGTTCCGTTGGTTTTTCTCCATTTCCTTCGAGCTTAGTCTGTTTGGTGGGCGATTTTTCTCCACTACCACAGAGATAGAGCGAGATTTTTGGAGCTCTTTGAAATTAAAAGGCTTATTCTCCTCCAGAAAACTACCCTCTGGGGTTCTATACTCGTCGTTACTAGAATCGCTGATCAAGCTCATTTGTTTTTGAAAATTTTTCGGCGTACTATACACGGAAATGTCTCGATCCAATTGGGGTGCCTGCTTTAAGGGTGTCGAGGTAATAGGGATGGTAGAAAATGAGAGTTCGGTATCGGAGGATGGTATCGTTTCGGGGATGTTCGGTTTTCTTTGATTGGATGAAGGGTGGGGGTTGGTTAAGTGGCGTTTCCTATTGGTTCTGCTAGGCGGTTGTTCCCTGGCATAGAACAGAAAATAAGTAGGGCGCATGCGAGGGTGGGGCATGCTTACAGGGCGGTCCATTGAAACGATGTTTTTTAGAAGATTTTTTTGCCCGTTTCGATGAATCACCCTGTGCCTTTTTGAATGCCCCCTCACAAAACAGGACAGCAATTTTTCGATGGAAATTTTCAATTTTCAGAAAGATGGTTGTCCAGTGAAGAAATGGAAAATAAATAAACATAAACAAACAAAACGTAAGTACTATGCAATAAATAATAATAAAACTATTGATTCAATGTATTTTCGCAATATTTTGTTAAATAAACGCTGGGTACATTCATTAATGAATAAACAAATTTAGTTGAGTAGAAACTGGAAAGGACATGCAAATAGGAAGATATACATGAAACCAAAAATAACGGTATATTCCTTCAACCCAAACAACCCATGCCATAATCCAAATCCCGACAAATTCCCACATTCCCCGGAAGCCTGAGATATGTCCAGGCTATTACAATTCAAAAACTGTCAAATCAACCCCGTTTCAATATAATGAAAACATACAGCACTGTCTGAAATACTGTTTTGTCTCTGAAAAACCAATTCCCGATGGTTTCTAATAGGCAAGTCAAATTTGGTTGGAATTGCAATTTCACGTCTTGAAAGAAGATATTTTTTCAATTACCACTTTTCCAATTGTAGTTCCCCTTTTTGAATTACAATGAACATGACGCTTACTGACCTTCAATTGAGTCATTTGAATAACAATCAGCTTATTCTGAGTTAGAAATGACCCTCAATGAACTTCAATTGACTCATCTAAATTACAGTTAATGTAATTACAAATGACGTATACCGAACTTCAACTGACTTCCGAATTACAATAATTAACGTATTCTGAATAGCTATTCACGTATTATATTCCGATTCCGAATCACGAATGACGGTTTCTGAATTATAATTGACACTTTCTGATTTTATACTGACTATTCTGATTCTCTCCGAGTCACAACCGAAAATTGGTGAAACAAACGCAGGCAACCTATATTATATTGACAATTTAATTCATGTATGAAAAATCCCACAAGTCGCGTGATTTTGTCATTATGACAGCGAACTTTTCCAGAGACAATAACGGAACCTAACTTCTGAAAGCATGACAACCAGCCATAAACAAAATGTTTGATGAATTAAATTGTCTTACCGAATTACACTCTAGCTTTTTTTTTAGTCGAAGTGATCTTGGCATTTATAATTCGAATTTTGTTGCCATTAGGTAATTCAACTCAAAAAACTGCCAGAAAAAATTTAATAAGTGATAAAAACCATCTGTCAATGGAAAATTAAACCACTTCGAGACTAACAGATATTGCGATAGTCTGCAGCATAGACGTAGGGGTCTGTGTCCGACTCACTCCCAAGGTATGATTGTTGGACAATCTACTTATACACCTTTGCACTTGAGCCACTAGATGGCTCCGAAGGCTAGATCGCCATTTTGTCCCTTACGGACTTCGATTCGTATCTTCATCAAACTACCCACCTGATGTGCCCGGAGTCGCCGGAACTCGATTGTCGGCTGTGCGACCTCGAATGCACGCTGCTGTACCCGGAAGCCTTCGACAATTGGCTGGTGTTGGAGGAGTTTCGCGAATGGCCGTGTTCTCCAGTCTGGTTGCCCGCTAGGTCGCGGGCAGTCTCCGAGTCCACGGTGGGCGGCTGTTGAAAGGTCGTGGGCGGGTCTAGAAGGTCGGGCGCTATCGATACCGGCACGTTGGTTTCGGTCAGCGTTTGGCCTATCACCAGATCTGGCGGGGAAATCGTTAGTTCAATCCTCAGAGTAACAGGCTTCACAGTCTTAGGATATTTGTGAAACACCTGCCTTATCGATAATTAGGGAGGATTTTTCCAGTAAAACTTCTTATTCAACTCGGCATCTCTTATGGCAGAACATAAAACAACCTTTATAACATAATGATACATCCATAACAACATAATAATTGTCAGAAATTCACTTCTAATATTTCATTATGAACTTATTGATTACCTTTTGTAAGCTACATAACAAAATAAAAGATATGAATTATTCAAAGATGAACGTGGAGGTAGCGAGAAGTTTTTCGTTTTTGTTATTATTTTTTTTTCAGCTGTTGTATGATCTATTTTGGGTGTTTATTTAATATTATGAATCCAAAGCAGACTGTTTTGTGAATAAATATGGTTCGGTAGTGTCAAATCTATCAAGACAAGTTTGCTACCAATATCCTGACCTGATATTTGACAGGTGGCGGTCTTGTTTGAATGCTCGTTTTTGTTGATGAAGAGCGTATTTGAAATATCGAAAATATCAAATATCCTGACTTGAGACGTTACAAAATGACTTATTATCAAGTCACAGCTCCTATTGCGAAATTCGACCGCTTAACCTCAACGCCCTGTATCTCGAGAATTGAACACTTTAAGACTATGTCCCTATCTCAGTGATTATGAAATCACGAGGGTTATCACCTGTCAAGCGTTGTCGGTCGAATTTCGCAACACCCTGTATAAGAGCTAACTTATTGATGCTCATACACACATTTATAGAAATCCCGATTCATTGAATATAAATGAAAAACAATAATTTCGCAGTTATCTCCACCATTCGTGATTTCATTCACTTAACCGTGTTTTGCATTTAGGATTTTTGTTCAATAAATTATGAATGAATCGCGGTGTCAATTTATTATCATTTTTCGATGGATTCCAAATGACGCGTTCCTTTGTTTGGTGTCCGTTTACCTGAAGATAAAAGAGCCGGTCTTTTCTTTGGTAGGCTGCCGAAACCCGAGCTGCCGCTGGCGATAGAACCGGCTAAAGACCCGCTGGAAACTTCGTCGGATCTCGGGTCGTTGCTAGAGTCTTCCACTTTCACTTGTTTATGTGTGAGGGATGGTGAAGGGCTAAATGAATCAATAAAAAGAACAATTTCAGGAGTCCATTGAAACACTTGATATACATTTTATTTTTTAATTTGGAATTGCAATTAATGATTGAATGAGAACTGATGAGGACCAAAGGGAATGGATGAGGATAAATGAGAATGAATGAGAACTCTATTGAAACACTGATGTGTAATCTCTTTTTGCGATAAATGGATGAATGAGAACTGATGAGAATCGATGGGTATCATTGAGAATTTTCGAATATACATGAGAATGGATATGGATAACGGGGCATATATAGGGGTAAGGATGGATGAGGATGAAATTAACTGTATTGAAACTAATGAGCATGTGTGAATCAAACATATTATATACAGTGTTCTTGAAGATGTGGCATTTTTCAAGAGGATGTCGAACTGAAATATACATCAGAATTGATGAGAAACATGCGCTAATGAGTAGAGGAGAACTGATATAAGGGTATGAGAATAGATGATAGTGGATGAGAACCAATGGAAAATGAATAAGTATGAATAAGAAAGAATAAGTTTGAATGAGAAAGAATAAGTATGAATGAGAAATAATAAGTTTATATGAGCATGAATGAGCATGAGTGGGATTGAACGGGTATGGATGAGTAAAAATGATGATAGAAGAATATGAGTGTATGAAAAGCAACAAGAACCATAAAGAATAGAATCACATCTCACGCTTTGAACAGCACATCGCCCGACGTCATGCTCAACTCGATCTTGAACTTGAGCATGCTGTTGTCCTGCCGATGCCTCGCGTCGTAGCCCTCCAATAGGGCCTTTTTGTGCACCAATCCGGCGCCGGCAAATTCCGCCAAATTCAGATCGACGAAGCCCAATTTGTTGAAGGATCTGCCGCCCTTGGACTCTTTGCGTATGGAGATGCGCAGGACGCATCTCTCCATAACGCCCGTGGTAGCGTTCGCCATCATCTTGCAGGGGAAGGAGAAGGAGTTGCCCCATAGGACCTTGTGGTCGCGAACTTCCTGTCTAACATGGAGAAATACACTCACCGAAAAAAAAACCGGCCAGAAGTAGTTATTTTCCTATAGTAGGGAAGCCCTAGCGGGGATTTCGGGATTTACTCGAGCGCGGCAGATTAACATAAGGGGGTGTTCTATATCACTCTGTGTAAATGATATTCAAGATGACACTGTATAAAATGATTAGGATAGATAGAAAAGATATGTCAATGTTATGTTACTTCAGATGAATAATAAAGTAGATTCTGAGTATTAATTTAGTTATCAAACAGGAGGGTCTCCTTGGACCTGAAGTACTCCCACCATACCTGGGCCTTTCATATGGTGTCGAAAGTTTAGGTCAGCCGATCAGATTAGTAAGAAAAAAATCGATCGTCAGAAATACTCGATTAAGACATGGTATGTTAATTACATGCAGAAGTGCGCAGTGTCACTTTTCCGCGTGTGAATTTAGATAGATATACAGGGTGGGCCACCAGTAACGCCTCGGTCTCTAGATGGCTAACCACTCATCTTCTTGGAATTCTTCCTGTCTAGGAAGTTGCACGTCAACATAGGCTACCATTTAAAATTATTTCGAAACATACAGGGTGTCCCCAAAAACCATAAAACACTGAAGTTAAACTTTTTTCTATCGAACACCCTATATATTATTTCATTTTGAGATTCTTCCTGATGAGCTGATTTCAACGACCCATCATACTTGGGGTCTAGCAGTTATAATTACTGAAATATAGGGTGTGAAAAATCGAGATTTTCCAAGTTCAAGAATTTTTTTTGGCCAAACTATTCATAATTGGTCAAAACGGCTTACATGTCCCTATCTCAACTTTTGATTAACTATCTACTGATATTTAATTGGGACATATACCGGATGATCAAGATTCTGAATTCTGCACCACCCTGTATTTATATTTCAATTAAATGTCAGTAGATAGTTGATCAAAAGTTGAGATATGGACATGTGAGCCGTTTTGACCAATTATGAATGGTTTAGACACAAAAAATTCTTGAACTTGGAAAATCACGATTTCTCACACCCTATATCTCAGTAATTATAACTGCTAGACCCCAAGTATGATGGGTCGTTGAAATCAGCTCACCAGGGAGAATCTCAAAATGAAATAATATATAGGGTGTTCGATTAGAAAAAGTTCAACTTCAGTGTTTTGTGATTTTTGGGGACATCCTGTATGTTTCAAAATAATTTCAAATGGCAGCCTATGTTGACATGCAACTTCCTAGAGAGGAAGAATTCCAAGAAGATAAGTGGTTAGCCTTCTAGAGACCGAGGCGTTACTGGTGGCCCACCCTGTATAGAAACAAAGATAGAATATTCAATTTAAGGCTGAAACTAACTAAAATTGAATACAGAGTGGCCCAATGAAAACGAAACAGAGGCTCTGTATCGCTAGAATCGGATTATTAAAAAACACTGGAACACGTCAACTACATTTCCTAGGGGGACATCGTGCTAAAATGTTTTCAGCGCTGAGGCGTTGCCGCTTCTAACGAAAAGTATGAACAACTTTGTTATTTTGAATGAAACATCCTGTATTTCGAATCTATTCATTATTGGTCAAAACGGCTTTCATGTCTCTATACCAACTTTTGATTTACTATCTACTGACATTTGATTGGAACAAATACAGGATGGTTCAAGATTCAGAATTCTGATCACCCCCGTATTTTTTTACCGTATTTTTTCTGGCCGATTTTTTGCCGTTGAACATGGTATTTTTGATATTCCGACTCGCTAATAAAATCTTGAATTTTTTTTGTGATCTTTGATTCATTAATTACGGCCAAAACCTTGTATTGATAAACCATGTTTTTCTGATGATTGCAATGACCTTGCCGTTATACCTGATAAGTCGAACATTAGCAATTTCTTTTAGTTGAAAATATAAATAGTTTGTTGGTTTGTACAGTTTTGTATTTCAAATGATAACAAAATTGACAATAATTGCTGTAGATACTTGGATATAACCATGTATGATCCTGCATTATTATGTATTTAATCCTAGACATAAGACCAATGAAATTTCATGGATGCTAGTGAAAATCTTATAGCTGTAGGTATTTGGAATTTTTGCTATACTGATTTGTCTTATCTGTTTTATATATTCAAAGAACTCTATTTAGGAACAGGAAACTAAATAATAAAATATATCAATATGCATATCAATGAAGGATAAAATGGATAGATAAAACATGGCTGTTCAAGTTGAAAATTAATTGATAACATTTATGATGTTATCAAAGCATTTTATACTTACTGTGATAAGAAGTAGACTTGTATCTGATAAGAATCTATTTCCGGGGATTCTGTTTTTTCAATGTGTTCCCTTGTTTCTTTGTACAGACACAAAAATAGAAGTTTGCATTAATAAATGATTGAAATTCAACATCTTTAGTATATTTAACAATTTTTTGCAGAGCTCAAATATTCCAACTAAAGTAGTGATTATTTATTACTCAATAAATTTCAATAAAAAAAGTTGGTTGATTGAATAAAAAACAATAAATATGAATACAACTGAGAATGAACAATTACAAAATTAAAGATATTATCATAAAAGTCTATAAGTTTGTTGTAAAATACATAAAAATAGTCCCTACAAAACATGTTTCTCTGTCTTTTTCTACACACCTACTACTGTGGTCCTGAAAACTGCCCCCATCCAACAATCTCATTTTTGCAAACAGCACTGCTGATACAAATGGCACCTCTAGCAGCTCCTCTAAGCATATCTCTACATGGAACTTGTATTTCTTCTTCTTGGTCATGAAAGAAGCCATACCACCACCTGGTTCAGTTGAAATCTTCCTCATTTAAAGAAAAAACTGTTCAGATCTATCATTTATTTTCTTGATTATTTCTTGTATTTATTATGTTATCACTAAGTTTTCATAATTCAATAAAAAATTTGCAGAATTGAACACAAAAAGGCAGGAATTAAGCAGTAGGTAATCTAAAAAGTGTTACAATAAATAATTGCTAATATATTGAAACAATTTTGTGAAAGGAGCAACAAGAATTAACTGACCTTAGAAATATTCCTAATGCCAAAATAATGTTTCACTATGATCTTTGTGAGAATATCCTGGATCTTATTTTAAAGGAATGAGTAGAAACTCTTAAATTGATCTATCATACATACATCATAGCTATTTTTAGGAACCAATAATTTTCATCACTTGTACTATTTGGCTTCCATAAATCAGTATGCCAAATGCTTGATTGGACATTTCAATAACAATTTGTGTGTTTTTAATAGGCCAATTCCAGCAGGCAGTGGAAAGGTACTAGGTACTTATAAAGTACCACAAACTTCCTTTCTAGGAGATTACACACATAATTATGTTCAGTCTAAATATAGCCGGTATTTCTGGTGTTGTTTAATAACTACATTTTTTGCACCCTTTCCTTGGTAATCATTATAATTATTGATGAGTCCAACTCAAATTCCAAAGGATACAACGTTAGCAATAATATACCATACCTATTTCTCGAAAGAATATGAAATTAGTACAAACCTTGGAAAGTGTAGACTTTTATCGAACTTATTTTGTATTCACAACATTCATTTATTAATTAAAATACTAACGAACTACTAATACTAATTTAACCAAACCAAAATCCACCTCCAACATAACAAACATATGAGATTCTGATTATTTTATTCTGAAACAGATGACAGATGACAGACAGATCTCATGAAATTTCAACCACCGAACATAAACTGCTGACTGACACAGTGTTGCCAGATGAAAATTTGCTGGAGCAGTAGATGAGGCCATGAGTAGTACAAAATAAGCATCAGTTCTACCAACCTTGCATCAAAGCCATACGTGCACCACCTAACGGCAAAGAACGGTATTGCATAGTGTATGATCAGTGGTCTCGAGAAAGAGGCGCTGTTATATAATTCCAGTATATTTTTATCATTAATCTTCTCACAGTGATGCCCCGACACATGACGATTATTGCTTTGTAGATGATAAAAGTTGAAAACCACTGTGAGTTGAGAATTGTTGATGGTTCAATAATCTGATGCTCGCTACACAATTTCTACAACCGCTTGTGTGAAATTTCATCATTTTCAAATTTTGCTTCTGGTTTAACGAAAAAAAAAACCAGTAGTTTCATGAAACAGGACAACAGTAAAACATACGAAAACAGTAGATCTACTGTTAAAACAGAAAGTTTGGCAACGCTGAACTGACAGGCAAGTGACAAACAATAGTGACAACTGTGAGTGACACAGTGACAGTGACAAGCATTGTTGCCACCGAAAGTGGGTCGTGGTTCAAAAGTTTGAATAGTTCAGTGGCAATGATTGAAGGTTGTAGCGGATACAAGAAAATGACGACACTGGTTGATAGGTGACATTGACACGATTTTATAACTTCACACTCTTGACAGAACCATGACAGAACAGGCACTACACAGTCAAGGTCTACACAGTGTTGTTCTTGTCATTACTTTTGTAATAGATCTATTACTAGTTCACGAAAGTTGTAACGTTATTGAAATTTGTCATGTATCTATTACTATTTGCTGTTAGCTCCAAAATATTATGTTTGATCTATTTCTGTGTGCAGCGAATGATTATATACTGTCTGTAGGTTAATCGAATGATTATGTTTTCTGCTCTATGAGTCTATGTCACAGTCTATGATCTATATTTATGTCATAAATTCTGTGTTACTTTTGCCTCATTCTTGTCATAAATGTTTAATCCGTGCGAATTACATTCAGAATGTCAAATGTCAGACTTTTTCAATCTATTACCTTTTGATTCAAATCTGTTACTTTTTTCCAAGAAAATCTGGTACGAAAAACTTAGACCTAGGAACAACACTAACAACCTTAGATCATTCATACTGACTCAGTGACTCACACTGACACTACAGACAGTTCCAGAAACAAATGATTAATGATGAAATTGATGAAATCAAAATGGCGTTTTCTCTTTTAATTATTTGAAGTATTTTGTCGTTTCATAATTTGTGTGCTTCGCTATTTCCGAGTGCATTATTAGTATTTCGCAGGAAATTGAATACAAACACCTTCGACCAGTTATCACCTAATAATCGACGACCATTACTCTATAGACGAGAATGAGCGTTGACGCGTATGGGCCCAGCTCTCAAACACTCACGTTTTTGGACACCGAAGATGCTGATTTGATAGGGGCCGATACTCAGGGCTCCGAATGCGATTTCACGGATTTCACGATACCATCACAGACGCAGGCGTCCCAGCACGATCATGCGGGACCCAAAGTTTCAGGGGTACAGGTTAGTAGGAAGGTCATGTCCCTGTCAGACACATGCTCTAACTGAAAAATCGGGATTTTACTGTGTTTGCCAGTCGGCAAAAGTTGAATAATCTGTACTGTATGAGGTTTAAAAGTGATTATTGCAATTATGAGAAAACTTTTTGTGGATTTTTTAGTAAAATTCAAGCATCTTTGTTGAACCTATGGACATCTGGTCTGATTTCTAAGCATTCTAGTATCAATTTCAGTACTGAAGTATACATTTCTGAACATTCTGTATTGCTCTTTGATAATCCCAAATAAATACATTGTCACTGGTTTTAACCAGATATTTCAAGGAGATTCCTTAAAATTACTCACTATCCAGTATCATTGAGATTTCCCCCATATTATTTCAAGGTGGATAGGAGAGTTGTACCTTGTACTGTTTCAATTAAACTTAATGGGGTATACCTAGTAGTTGCCAAATTCATTTTATGTCAATGCCAACACACATTTTTGAAATGGAACCCATGAACATACTAAATTCTAGCTTCCTGGTGATTTTTTTTCTCAATTGAGGATAGATTTAATAACAATTTTATGATGCTCCTCAATTAGCTCATGTGGTATCAACAGCAATTAGGTTTCAACCAAATTGCAACAAAGTTGGAAGCAAGCATTAGGTATATTAGGAGAGAGTGGAGCATTTATTTCAATATGTGTTGAGTATTAAGAAAAATAAAGATATTATTATGAATTCTGTGTGTTTTATTTTGTACCCTGCATCTCTGGTATTATATATTTTATCACCAATTGAGTATATCTGTATTTTTTTCGATATTCCAGTTGTGAGTTTTATTTTGATGAGAATCAGTAGGCAAATAATAACACAATATCTTGAACATTTCAGATTAATAACAATATTGTCACAAAAATAGCCACAGCAACTACAGCTCTGAGTGAGTTGCAGTTTGAAGAAGATGATGAAGAAGGTTATTTCAATGGAAAAGAGTTGCCAGACTATGCCTGCAAGTATTGTGGCATCCATGAACCAAACTGTGTGGTAATGTGTAATTTGTGCAAGAAATGGTTTTGCAATGGAAGGGGTAACACCTCAGGAAGCCATATAATCAATCATTTGGTAGGGTTTTCACACATTACATCTTTTTTATATAGAAATAAATCAAAAGTAAAAAAAACTTCAATAAAAAGCTTTCATTCAAACGCTCTAAAAATAAGAAAATGAAATTTTTCTTAATAATTTCAACTATCCACTTATAACCTCATTATACACAATTTATATGATCATAAAAGTTTGTTGCACGATTCACTTGTGTGAATGAACTACATAGTTCATTCACTTATTTAATCATGTAAAATCTGCTGATAAAATTTTTAAACTTACAATTTAATTAAATATGGATCATTGTGACAAGCTTTTATGATCATATAAATTGTGTATAATGAGGTTTTAAGTTGATAGTCAAAATTATTGAGAAAAATTTCATTTCCTCTTATTAGAGCTTTAAATAAAAGCTTTTTTTCTGTGACGGGAAAAAAGTTTGGCATTTCATCTCTGTTGGCAGGTTATAAAATGTCACTTTTCATAAATTACTTTTTTCCCGTGGGAAAAAAGTGAGTACTTCTTTCCCGGATATATATCACATATATATACTCTGTTAATGGCTTTTGTTGTGCTATAGTTCCGAAAAATGAGTCAATAATACCGTCTCCGAGAAAGAACTGCAAGTCCTTTTATCTTCCATTCGACTTCGCGGTTTCGTATATTACTAAACAACTACTGAATTCGCAATTTTTTAAAATCAAATCACAGAATTGAACTGACAGAAGTGACATCAGATATTTGATTACTTCAAAAGAATGATAAAGATGTCTATAAAACGCAGGTGTCCCTACTGTTAAAAACTTGAAATTTCACGTCGATAATTTTCACATTTCGAAATAATGTAATATCTTCTCAATATTGATTCGTCCTTCCTTCTGTCACAGAAAAAAATAGTGTATTATACACGGGAAAAATATTAGATTTTAGCTCACGGTTTTTTGTCTCCCTCCGCTACTCGTCGGGAGACAACACAACCTGGAGCTAAAATCTACTACTTTTTTCCCTTGTATAATAAATAACTATTTATTAAAAAGTTTTTTTTTTACTTTTAATTTATTTTTTAATTTTCAGTTATTGCTAGCTGGATTTTTCGATTTACTCTCAACAAGCCTTTTCATTTGATACCCATATTGTAGAAGTATATTGAAAATGACCATTCCGCCATCTTGGATGGTCCGCCATAATGGATTTAGAATGACGTCACATCATTTTTCTTGTTACTCTCAACGAGCCTTTTCATTTGATACCCATATTGTAGAAGTATATTAAAAATAGCTATTCCGCCATCTTGGATGGACCGCCATATTGGATTTAGAATGACGTCACATCATTTTTCGAGTTACTCTCAATGAGCCTTTTCATTTGATACCCATATTGTAGAAGTATATTAAAAATAGCTATTCCGCCATCTTGGATGGTCCGCCATATTGGATTTAGAATGACGTCACATCATTTTTCGAGTTACTCTCAATGAGCCTTTTCATTTGATACCCATATTGTAGAAGTATATTAAAAATAGCTATTCCGCCATCTTGGATGGACCGCCATATTGGATTTAGAATGACGTCACATCATTTTTCGAGTTACTCTCAATGAGCCTTTTCATTTGATACCCATATTGTAGAAGTATTTTAAAAATAGCTATTCCGCCATCTTGGATGGTCCGCCATATTGGATTTAGAATAACGTCACATTAATTTTCGAATTACTCAAAACGAGCTATTTCATTTGATACCCATATTGTAAAAGTATATCAAAAATAGCTATTCCGCCATCTTGGATGGACCGCCATATTGGATTTAGAATGACGTCACATCATTTTTCGAGTTACTCTCAATGAGCCTTTTCATTTGATACCCATATTGTAGAAGTATTTTAAAAATAGCTATTCCGCCATCTTGGATGGTCCGCCATATTGGATTTAGAATAACGTCACATTAATTTTCGAATTACTCAAAACGAGCTATTTCATTTGATACCCATATTGTAAAAGTATATCAAAAATAGCTATTCCGCCATCTTGGATAGTCCGCCATATTGGATTTAGAATAACGTCACATCATTTTTCGAATTACTCCCAAGGAGCCCTTTCATTTGATACCCTTATTGTAGGAGTAGATTAAAAATGACCATTCCGCCATCATGGATGGTCCGCCATATTCGATTTAGAATGACGTCACATCATTTCTCGAGTTACTCTAAACGAGCCTTTTCATTTGATACCCATATTGTAAAAGTATATCAAAAATAGCTATTCCGCCATCTTGGATAGTCCGTCATATTGGATTTAGAATAACGTCATATCATTTTTCGAATTACTCTCAACGAGCCCTTTCATTTGATACCCTTATTGTAGGAGTAGATTAAAAATGACCATTCCGCCATCATGGATGGTCCGTCATATTCGATTTAGAATGACGTCACATCATTTCTCGAGTTACTCTAAACGAGCCTTTTCATTTGATACCCATATTGTAAAAGTATATCAAAAATAGCTATTCCGCCATCTTGGATAGTCCGCCATATTGGATTTAGAATAACGTCACATCATTTTTCGAATTACTCCCAAGGAGCCCTTTCATTTGATACCCTTATTGTAGGAGTAGATTAAAAATGACCATTCCGCCATCATGGATGGTCCGCCATATTCGATTTAGAATGACGTCACATCATTTCTCGAGTTACTCTAAACGAGCCTTTTCATTTGATACCCATATTGTAAAAGTATATCAAAAATAGCTATTCCGCCATCTTGGATAGTCCGTCATATTGGATTTAGAATAACGTCATATCATTTTTCGAATTACTCTCAACGAGCCCTTTCATTTGATACCCTTATTGTAGGAGTAGATTAAAAATGACCATTCCGCCATCATGGATGGTCCGTCATATTCGATTTAGAATGACGTCACATCATTTTTCGAGTTACTCTCAATGAGCCTTTTCATTTGATACCCATATTGTAGAAGTATTTTAAAAATAGCTATTCCGCCATCTTGGATGGTCCGCCATATTGGATTTAGAATAACGTCACATTAATTTTCGAATTACTCAAAACGAGCTATTTCATTTGATACCCATATTGTAAAAGTATATCAAAAATAGCTATTCCGCCATCTTGGATGGTCCGCCATATTGGATTTAGAATAACGTCACATCATTTTTCGAATTACTCCCAAGGAGCCCTTTCATTTGATACCCATATTGTAGAAGTAGATTGAAAATGACCATTCCGCCATCTTGGATGGTCCGCCATATTCGATTTAGAATGACGTCACATCATTTCTCGAGTTACTCTAAACGAGCCTTTTCATTTGATACCCATATTGTAAAAGTATATCAAAAATAGCTATTCCGCCATCTTGGATAGTCCGTCATATTGGATTTAGAATAACGTCATATCATTTTTCGAATTACTCTCAACGAGCCCTTTCATTTGATACCCTTATTGTAGGAGTAGATTAAAAATGACCATTCCGCCATCATGGATGGTCCGTCATATTCGATTTAGAATGACGTCACATCATTTCTCGAGTTACTCTAAACGAGCCTTTTCATTTGATACCCATATTGTAAAAGTATATCAAAAATATTCCGTCATCTTGGATAGTCCGCCATATTGGATTTAGAATAACGTCACATTATTTTTCGAATTACTCTCAACGAGCCCTTTCATTTGATACCCATGTTGTAGTAGTAGATTAAAATGACTTTTCTGCCATCTTGGATAGTCCGCCATATTTGATTTAAAATGACGTCACATCATTTCCCGAGTTAATCTCAACGAGCCTTTTCATTTGATACCCATATTGTAAAAGTATATCAAAAATAGCTATTCCGCCATCTTGGATAGTCCGCCATATTGGATTGTCCGCCATATTGGATTTAGAATAACGTCACATTATTTTTCGAATTACTCTCAACGAGCCCTTTCATTCAAAGATTCCACCCAAACATACATACATAAATACATCCATACAAACATACAATGCAAGTTAAATAAAAGCTTTTAATTAACCTTGTTTATTTCTGATTGATTGATTTGTAGGTTAGAGCCAAACATAAGGAAGTCACTTTACATAAGGATGGTCCATTGGGTGAGACTATTTTGGAGTGTTACAGTTGTGGAGTCAGAAATGTTTTTGTGTTGGGTTTCATACCAGCAAAAGCAGATTCTGTTGTTGTTTTGTTGTGCAGGCAACCATGTGCAGCACAAAATTCCCTCAAGGTATAGCCAATGAAATTAATTATTGGATATGTTCAAATTTTTCATAAGCATTCCACAGTACATTTTTCAGTTTGGGAAATTTTGAAAAAAGCGAGAAAAAAAGTATCAGTTGAGAATATTCTTAAAACTGGCAGAATTATTCAATCAAAATGTTATTAATTTTGAAAAGTTTTTCAGTTAAGAAACCTTTGTTTGGTGATTTTTCATTTTGGGAAATTTCTAATTGAAAAAATGTACAGGGCTTGTTTTATTAATGTGAACCCCCCTTTATCTTTTTTGTTTTCCATTCATTAAAAAAAAGTTGAAGCTGATTTTATACAATTTTCCATAAAGATTTCACACATATTGACAATGATGCAATATCTTTCAAATATGAAGGGTATACAGAAAAATATATTTCTTTCAAATGAAAAGCACTGTATATTTTGATAATCTATCATTCAATTAGAAAGATATATACAGGGTGGGTCACGGTAGATGGCACCTTAGACGTTTACGGAGAACGGGACATAAGATCATTCTGAAAATTTGGTTACTCAAGTAATTGATCTTGATCTATCGATCTAAAATATTTTCAGCTCTGCGGCGTTGCCGCTTCTATCGAAAAGTAGCAACAACTTTGTTATTTTAAATGGAACACCCTGTATTTTATCGCATTTTCAGATTCTCTCTGAAGAGCTGATTTCATCGATGTATCACACTTGGGGTCTAGCGGAAATGATTACAGAGATATAGGGTGTGAAAAATCGACATTTTTCAACTTAAGGAATTTTTTTTTGTCCAAACTATTCATTATTGGTCAAAACGGCTTACATGTCCCTATCTCAACTTTTGATTAATCTACTGATATTTAATTGGGACATATACCGGGTGATCAAGAATCTGAATTCTGCACCACCCTGTATTTGTTTCAATTAAATGTCAGTAGATAGTTGATCAAAAGTTGAGATAGGGACATGTGAGCCGTTTTGACCAATAATGAATAATTTCGACAAAAAAAATTCCTAAAGTTAAAAAATGTCGATTTTTCACACCCTATATCTCTGTAATCGTTTCCGCTAGACCCCAAGTGTGATATATCGATGAAATCAGCTCTTCAGAGAGAATCTGAAGATGCAATAAAATACAGGGTGTTCCATTTAATATAACAAAGTTGTTGCTTCTTTTCGATAGAAGCGGCAACGCCGCAGAGCTGAAAATATTTTAGATCGATAGATCAAGAGCAATTACTTGAGTAACCAAATTTTCAGAATGATCTTATGTCCCGTTCTCCGTAAACGTCTAAGGTGCCATCGACCGTGACCCACCCTGTATATTTTTTTTGTATACCCTGTATATCTGGAGAGGTATTGTAACACTGTCACTATAATTGGAACCTGTATAAAAAACTATTGTATGAGAACAGTTTTAAAATTTTCGGGATGGGTGGAAAACAAAAAAAATCTAGAGGGGTTCACATTAATGAAACTAGCCCTGTACATTTCAAATTTTTGTTGAAAATTTCTTTTTAATAAAAGAAACATATTCTATTCACTTTTTTTATATTGAAAAAAAATTTCAACATTGAGAATATCCTGCTGGAAGATTTTCTATTTAGTATAATTTATCAGTTAATAAAATATTCCATTTCAAAAATAATTCTGTTGAAGAAATTTATTGTCAATTTATAAAATGAAGTTTTGTTTCAAATTGAAGAGATTTCTAAAATGAAAGATCAAAGTTTCACATCTGATTCATTTCTAAGAATACAAGCTTAGTACTGATAAATATTCCTTATCTATTTTTTTATCATGTGAGTTTGAGATTTCTAATGATATTTCTTGAACATTTTCCAATTGAAAATTGTCCGATTTGGAAAACTTTCTGACAGAAATTTAAAGCTGAAATGCTTTTTCAATCAAGAGTTTTCCTAATATGTTGAAAATTGTCCGATTTGGAAAACTTTCTGGCAGAAATTTAAAGCTGACAAATACTTTTTCAATCAAGAGTTTTCCTAATATGTTTAAATATTTCTGGTTTTTCTGTAAACATAAATTCCTATGAAATGAAAAAAATTGCATGACTGAAAAAAGTGACCTGTTCCTTTTTTTTAGGACATGAATTGGGATCAGGACCAATGGAAACCCCTGATTGCTGATCGTTGTTTTCTGACGTGGCTGGTGAAAATTCCTTCTGAGCAGGAACAGTTGCGTGCCAGACAAATTTCCGCTCAGCAAATCAATAAGCTAGAAGAACTGTGGAAGGAAAACGTCGAGGCGACTTTCCAGGATTTGGAAAAACCCGGAGTAGACGAGGAACCTCAGCAGGTACGATTTTTTAGCGGATAAAAAGCAACTTGTCCTTTGTGGAGTTCTTTCAGTTGATGTTCTTTTTTCTATTATTCAGTTTCTAACCCAAAATACACTTTGAAGAAGCTAATGTTAAGCAAAACATTTTGCTAAAGAATTGCTTCTCCAAAGTGTACCTTGTGAAAACAATTTAGATAATTAACATGTAGCTCAAAGAAGCTTTGCAATCTATTCTGCTCCAATGGTGTATCTGTATCTGCTTCAACTGTATGCAGCTAAACATTAGCTTAGAAGTTTTGGGTGGGGAAATGAACATTTTTATTTGGCCTATTAAAAATCTGAAAAAATTCACATAGACTAATTCGATGTCCTAACGAACGAATCTGTGATGAAAATCGGGAAATTATGAGAAATGGAGACGTAGTAGCCTACCGGAGTGCTTCTATTGGCAAAAAAAGCGAAAAGCTGGCTTTGAGTGCCGATATCTCAAAAACTATCTGTCCTATGGGGCTGATTATGGTCTCATTCGATTCAGCGGGTCATTTTCTACTGGAGAAGCGATAATTCGCGATGATTTCTGCCGTTTTCTGGCACTTTCGGCCGTCCGAAGATGGCTCGGTGACTATATCGTATGGAAGTCTTAGGTGAGAAAATGAAAATTGTTATTTGGGCTATTAAAAATCTGAAAAAATTCACATAGACTAATTCAATGTCGAAATGAACGAATCCGTTGTGGAAATCGGGTAATTTTGAAAAATAGAGACGTAGAAGCCTACCGGAGTGCTTCTATTGGCAATAAAAGCGAAAAGTTGACTTTGAGCGTCGATATCTCAAAAACTATCTGTCCTATCGGGCTGATTATGGTCTCATTCGATTCAGCGTGTCATTTTCTACTGGAAAAGCGATAATTCGCGTGGATTTTCGCCGTTTTCTGGCACTTTCGGTCGTCCGAAGATGGCTCGGTGACTTTATCGTATGGAAGTCTTAGGTGAGAAAATGAAAATTGTTATTTGGGCTATTAAAAATCTGAAAAAATTCACATAGACTAATTCAATGTCGAAATGAACGAATCCGTTGTGGAAATCGGGTAATTTGAAAAATAGAGACGTAGAAGCCTACCGGAGTGCTTCTATTGGCAATAAAAGCGAAAAGTTGACTTTGAGCGTCGATATCTCAAAAACTATCTGTCCTATCGGGCTGATTATGGTCTCATTCGATTCAGCGTGTCATTTTCTACTGGAAAAGCGATAATTCGCGTGGATTTTCGCCGTTTTCTGGCACTTTCGGTCGTCCGAAGATGGCTCGGTGACTTTATCGTATGGAAGTCTTAGGTGAGAAAATGAAAATTGTTATTTGGGCTATTAAAAATCTGAAAAATTCACATAGACTAATTCAATGTCCTAACGAACGAATCTGTGATGAAAATCGGGAAATTATGAGAAATGGAGACGTAGTAGCCTACCGGAGTGCTTCTATTGGCAATAAAGCGAAAAGTTGACTTTGAGCGTCGATATCTCAAAAACTATCTGTCCTATCGGGCTGATTATGCTCTCATTCGATTCAGCGTGTCATTTTTCTACTGGAAAAGCGATAATTCGCGTGGATTTTCGCCGTTTTCTGGCACTTTCGGTCGTCCGAAGATGGCTCGGTGACTTTATCGTATGGAAGTCTTAGGTGAGAAAATGAAAATTGTTATTTGGGCTATTATAAATCTGAAAAAATTCACATAGACTAATTCAATGTCGAAATGAACGAATCCGTTGTGGAAATCGGGTAATTTTGAAAAATAGAGACGTAGAAGCCTACCGGAGTGCTTCTATTGGCAATAAAAGCGAAAAGTTGACTTTGAGCGTCGATATCTCAAAAACTATCTGTCCTATCGGGCTGATTATGGTCTCATTCGATTCAGCGTGTCATTTTCTACTGGAAAAGCGATAATTCGCGTGGATTTTCGCCGTTTTCTGGCACTTTCGGTCGTCCGAAGATGGCTCGGTGACTTTATCGTATGGAAGTCTTAGGTGAGAAAATGAAAATTGTTATTTGGGCTATTAAAAATCTGAAAAAATTCACATAGACTAATTCAATGTCGAAATGAACGAATCCGTTGTGGAAATCGGGTAATTTTGAAAAATAGAGACGTAGAAGCCTACCGGAGTGCTTCTATTGGCAATAAAAGCGAAAAGTTGACTTTGAGCGTCGATATCTCAAAAACTATCTGTCCTATCGGGCTGATTATGGTCTCATTCGATTCAGCGTGTCATTTTCTACTGGAAAAGCGATAATTCGCGTGGATTTTCGCCGTTTTCTGGCACTTTCGGTCGTCCGAAGATGGCTCGGTGACTTTATCGTATGGAAGTCTTAGGTGAGAAAATGAAAATTGTTATTTGGGCTATTAAAAATCTGAAAAAATTCACATAGACTAATTCAATGTCCTAACGAACGAATCTGTGATGAAAATCGGGAAATTATGAGAAATGGAGACGTAGTAGCCTACCGGAGTGCTTCTATTGGCAATAAAAGCGAAAAGTTGACTTTGAGCGTCGATATCTCAAAAACTATCTGTCCTATCGGGCTGATTATGCTCTCATTCGATTCAGCGTGTCATTTTCTACTGGAAAAGCGATAATTCGCGCGGATTTTCGCCGTTTTCTGGCACTTTCGGTCGTCCGAAGATGGCTCGGTGACTTTATCGTATGGAAGTCTTAGGTGAGAAAATTAAAATTGTTATTTGGGCTATTAAAAATCTGAAAAAATTCACATAGACTAATTCAATGT